GTCTCCGCTGTTTGTTAGGATATTCAGTGCTTGAGGTAAAATATATTTCGGAATCGGATGATTTATTATAAACAATTTTACTATTCTATATTTTCTGGCAACAATACGTTGGAGAACACTGGGTATATTTGAATAAACAGTCTTATTAACAATGTGAGAAAAATGTAAAATTTAGCCATAATGTAATTACAACAAAAATACTCCAATATTCTATTTACTTTTTACCTAACGACTACTTCAAATGTTACCAATCATGCATTGCAAAATCCTTTTAAAACATCAACATTTTCAATGAACATACGGTGTCAGTATTATAAGAAATGCAATATGAATATAAATGAATGTCATACATGCATGAAAACATTATATACTATCTACATACTGTTTTAAAGTAAAATACCGATACATAAGATTCTACACCTGTTAATTAATACCAAATCACTGTCTTGCCTTAATTACGACATTGTGAAGGATAACTGATCGTCAATAAAATGTTGATGATATCAGAAGAACGCTAGTAGTATACAATGGGACGTGGAGTAACGAGTAAAATATCATGACTACTATATGTATATGTATGGCGAGGTACATGTAGAATATTCCGACTCTATAATACATATTTATACAATTTATGTTAATATAGTGCTGATATGACTAATGTTATTGAACTGTGTGAGCGTAGATTATGTAAGTGCTGATATGACTAATGTTATTGAACTGTGTGAGCGTAGGTTAGGTAAGTGCTAATATGACTAATGTTATTGAACTGTGTTAGCGTAGGTTAGGTAAGTGCTGATATGCCTAATGTTATTGAACTGTGTGAGCGTAGATTAGGTAAGTGCTGCTATGACCATTGAATGAACACGGACTACAGTTTCTCCCACCTCTTGGTATGCAAGATACATGCGTCAGAACTGGACATGTGAATCACCCATGTGGAATAAGTCTTTCCTACATATGTGCAACCAGTGACCACAATCAGGCAACATCATCATTCTCTAAATCCTAACTAGGGAGTGCATACAAACTTTTGCGTTCAAATCGTTCTTAACGATATCGGCTGACGTTCTGAAACGTGACGTCGTGTCAATAGTTATACTTTCAGTATAACACTTTCTAAATCTGTTTTCTTTGGATAATGTGTAACAGTATCAAGAAGTTCTACTATTTTTGTTGTTACATTCGTTATGTCATTGCTATATTGAACCAATTTCCTCGATAAAGGGTTGGGGGAAAAGGCCAATCATTATGTAGATACGGAAAATACCACATTTGATTCCCTCATGTATGTCGAAATTTTGTTGTTTATGGTATCGACAAACTGCAGTTTATGTGATGAACCCCAATACTCGCTCACATAAATAACAAATATGTTCAATGCATCCAATTTTACGAAAATATATCGACTATGAAAGTAAAATGGAACCACAGAATATAAAGAAACACCACAGCACGTTTTGTTATATCAGCTGAAAGTGGACTGATATAACAATCAAATGTATACAAAAAGCATCTATTGTTCGGTATAACTATACGACATTGGGTAATAAATGCATACAGTGTTAATTCATCATGTAACAATATGATATGTTTGAAATGTGTTCAATGTTATATTATTATGTAAATGGGTGCAACCTCTATCATTAATAAGTTTGATGATATACAGGCATACTTATATATAAAATATATCGATATATTCCTCAGGGGTGCAGTTTATGTCAATAAGTAGTTTGGGGGATGGAAGCGTTAGGGTTAAAGCGATCACTAATGCTGTATAATAATAACATACAAGAAATAAATGTCATTTTCTGCAAATGGTACTGAATGTCTGAAGTATTAACGTCCATTGTGCTGATATTTCTTACTTATGTTTTAGGGTCGATCTTGAAGAAAAGATGAAGTCTAAAATGAAAAAGAATATATCGAAACAATTTCGATCCCAATTCATGGTATGCATATGTATGCGATTTATTTATCATATTCAGTGAGGTATTGTACATAACAAGAGGCAGAGAGGGCCTTTATCATCCATCACGATATTTAAGCAATGATGTATTCTCATGAAAAATAATATTATAAACAAGTAGCATAGGGTAATTTCTTCATGCACAGTAATTATATATATATACATGGTTACGAGGTGGGGATCGCAGTTTTTTCTGTAGTATGATTCAGGGACTATGTCCCTTGGGAAGGGCATGACCCCGGATCCAATTTTGGTAGCGTGGGTGTGTTTTATGGTGGGGATCTAAATAGGTTTAAGTACAAATGCACCCAAAAAATCACTAATTGACCCCATCCTTCTGGACCCACGGGTTACTTCATTTTCTTTTATACAAAACATGATTATCTTGTCCAGGTAATGATTCAGCCCATATCAGTTAACCATCCGTGCAGTCGTTCAGGAGGAGTAGTGTTTTGAAAATTAAATTGTCTAATTTTGCCCTATATTTGGCCTATATTATACCCATCCCTCTGACCCCAGGGGTCACATCAACATTACTGTAACGAAATGATATTTCCTTGCCCTAGTGATGATTCATACTAAATATGGTAACAAGCATTGCAATGCTGCAGAAGAAGATGAATTGTATTAATAAATCCCAGAAAATGTATAGTTTGTCTTCTAACTTTATAATTACAAAACTAATCCAATTCAAATTTCGACTCTTCCTGGGTCTTTATTCCATTGCAGTTTGATACAAGTTCCAAGGTCTGATTACTTGTGTTTAATAGTGAACTGCTTTCGTTTGCACATACAATCTAAATTCAACTGAACGATTTGTCTGCAGCGGCTTACATTTGGGAGTTCCAGAATGAGTGGGTGTAAGTATTATCCTTTTATTTTGTCTCACTATTCTAACACATGTATTAAGGATTTGACTTATACACCATTACATACTTATCATGTTTAATAAATAACGTATTCAACAAAATAAACACCGTAATTGATCAGTATTCACTATCCTCTTTTTGATAAGAGAGTTTGATCTCTTCCTTTTTAATCTATCATATAACTTTACATATAGAGTCTCTTTTTGTTATTTTTTTTTCAGCATTTTGGAACGTTTTGCAATCATTCACTTCCCGAAATGCAAAATGCCCAAGGCACTTAAGAAGTTGAATACGTTTTAAAAAAGAGACCCAATGAGCCTGCATCGCTCACCTGATATTAATCTGACACTTGTAATCTTAAAAGTGGACTAAAATACAGCTACAGGCAGAATATCAGTGTTTGATTCATAAGAACCAATTAAAAGATTTAAACATATGACGCATGTGACCTTAAATGTTGAACAAGGACATTGGGTTGAAAGTGGGTCAAGGTCATTCATTTGAATAAACGTGGTAGTCCTTCATCCCAGCATGCTACAGGCCGATTATCAGTACCCTGGGCCTTTTGGTTATTGAGAAGTGGTTTGAAGATTTTACGACATTTGACCCCTGTGACCTTGAAAGTGGGTCAAGGTCATTAATTTGAACAAACTTGGTAGCCCTTCATTCCAGCATGCTACAGGACCAATATCAGTAACCTGGGCCTATTGGTTATTGAGCAGTGGTTTGAAGATTTTACGACATTTGACCCCTGTGACCTTGAAAGTGGGTCAAGGTAATTCAATTGAACAAACTTGGTAGCCTTTCATCCCAGCTTGCTACAGACACAATATCAGTACACTGAGCTTTTCCTTCATCCAAGCATGCTATAGTCCGAATTTCAGTACCCTGGGCCATTTGGTTATTGAGAAGTTGTTTGAAGATTTTAAGACATTTGACCCCTGTGACCTTGAAAGAAGGCCAATGTCATTCATTTGAACAAACTTGGTAGCCCTTCATCCCAGCATGCTACAGGCCCAATATCAGTACTCTGGGCCTATTGGTTATTCAGAAGAAGTTGTTTGAAGATTTTACGACATTTGACCCCTGTGACCTTGAAAGTGGGTCAAGGTAACTCATTTGAACCAACTTGGTAGCCCTTCATTCCAGCTTGCTACAGACCCAATATCAGTACCCCAGGCTTTTCCTTCATCCAAGCATGCTACAGTCCCAATTTCAGTACCCTGGGCCTTTTGGTTATTGATAAGTTGTATGAAGATTTTACGACATTTGACCCCTGTAACCTCGAAAGTAGGTCAAGGTCATTCATTTGAACAAACTTGGTAGCACTTCATCCAAGCATGCTACAGGCCCAATATCGATACTCTTGGTCTTTTGGTTATTGAGAAGAAGAAGTCGTTTGAAGATTTTAAGACATCTGACCCCAGTGACCTTGAAAATGGGTCAAGGTCATTCATTTGAACAAACTTGGTAGCTCTTCATTCCAGCATGCTACAGGCCCAATATCAGTACCCTGGGCCTATTGGATATTCAGAATAAGTGGTTTGAAGATTTAAGACATTTGACCCCTGTGACCTTGAAAGTTGGTCAAGGTCATTCATTTGAACAAACTTGGTAGCCCTTCATCCCAGCATGAGCCAGGCCCAATATCAGTACCGTGGGCCATTTGGTTATTGACAAGAAGTCGTTTGAAGATTTTAAGACATTTGACCCCTGTGACCTTGAAAGTTGGTCAAGGTCATTCATTTGAACAAACTTGGTAGCCCTTGTTACCAGTATGCTAAAGGCCAAATATCATCAGCCTGGGCCTTTTGGTTATTCAGAAGAAATTGTTTAAAGTAAAACGACGGACGGACGACGCACCATGCCATAAGCTCACTTGGCCCTTCGGGCCAGGTGAGCTAATAATAATACTGTATATTATCACAGTAAATACTTTCTCTTTACATTTAACATATTTACATCCGAAAGAATGAGTTTGCATTCCTCAAATCAGTGCAGGGCCTTGGTACGGTGGTAAATTTATTTTTGCTTTAACAGCTGAACAAACACACCTAACAACTGAAGATTAGAATGAAGGTCTAATGACAAAACGTCCTCAATATTTATGTATGAAATACATCAGCTGATAGAAGAAATATGGAAATGATAAAAAAAGCCATTAATGAAAATTATCAATTTATTTTTAACATACATAACATTTTACTGTATTAGCGACCTGCAAAATTTAGACCTTTTGAATGCAAATTCATAACTGTTTAGGATGCAAATTCACAAACTTTAATAACAAATCAGCCCCTACATTACAGATTTATATTGAACCTGCTTTTGATTCACTTCATTACCAATTAAACAAATAATGTTACTATTCTTGACAAAGATCTTAATAATAAGCAGCAGATGTTTCCGAGAATCTCAACATTTTCTCCGAATCAACCGTTCTTACAATGGTTGTTTACATCCAACTTACATTACAATATGGTAAATGTAATAATGTGGTAAGCTAGCAGAACAATAAGTTTGAACAGTTGAAAGACACCACTTTAATTGCTTAATTTTTTGTAATTATACCTTCTGGTCCTATTAAAGCTTTTCTCTACTGGTCAGAATGAGTCTTGCAGTAAATGAGAAGTTCAGATATGTTTACCCTACCATTGATTTATACCTTGTCCTTCGATATGACAAAGGGAGTGTTCAATTTTAAAGATATGACAAAGGGAGTGTTCAGTTTTAAAGATATGACAAAGGGAGTGCTCAGTTTTAAAACTTAACAACAGTATAACAATAACAATTTCATTTAATAATTAAGATCAAAAGGTAAACTCCAACCATCTTTTAACATTTGGTCTACCTCAGATCTGACAACATATACAGAGAGAGTGTCTAGATCCGACAGCACAAAGACAAACAAGAAACTATTTCAGATCTTACCATGTACAGACAGGAAGTGCCTACTACAAAATTGACAACATACAGACAGGAAGTACCTACCTCAGATCTAATGATGTACAGACAGGAAGTACCTGCTACAGATTTGACAACTTACGGACAGGAAATGTCTAGAATTGACAACAGACAGGAAATGTATAGATCTGAAAACTTACACATAGGAAGTGTCTAGATCTTACAGATAGATAGTGTCTAGATCTGACAACAGATAGGAAGTGTCTAGATCTGACAACAGAAATGAAGTGTCTAGATCTGACAACAGACAGGAAGTGTCTAGATCTGACAACAGACAGGAAGTGTCTAGATCTTACAACAGACAGGAAGTGTCTAGATCTTACAGATAGATAGTGTCTAGATCTGACAACAGATAGGAAGTGTCTAGATCTGACAACAGAAAGGAAGTGTCTAGATCTGACAACAGACAGGAAGTGTCTAGATCTGACAACAGACAGGAAGTGTCTAGATCTCACACCTTACAGACAGGTAGTGTCTAGATCTGACAACTGACAATAGTGTCTAGACCTGAAAACAGACAGGTAGTCTACTGTAGATCTAACAACAGATAGGAAATGTCTAAGATCTCATAATTTACAGACAGGTAGTGTCTAAATCTTACAACTTACAGACTGGAAATGTCTAAGATCTCACAATTTACAGACCTGACAACAGACAGGTAGTCTACTGTAGATCTGAAAACAGATAGGAGGTGTATAGATCTGACAACAGATAGGTTGTGTCTAGATCTGACAACTAACAGACAGGAATTGTCTACATTTGACTTCTTACAGACAGGAAGTGTCAAGATCTGACAACTTACAAAAAGGAAGTGTTTAGATCTGACAACTTACAGACAGGAAGTGTCAAGATCTGACAACTTACAGACAGGAAGTGTCTAGATCTGACAACATGCAGACAGGAAGTGTCTACCTCAGATCTGCTAACCTACAAACAGAAAGTTTCTCCTTCAGGTCTAACAATTTTAAAATAGGGACAAGAAGTACTAGACACTGTTTTCTGATCAGAAAACAAAAGAAGAAGACAATGAAAAAATTTGACTGATTTATTTACATTAGCAAAATAATTACTAAGAGGTAATTCACATCATGGAAGAGATTTCCATATAATTTGATCTGTATGCATAGATTGATACTGGAATGATTTTGCAGGCTTGTACAGACTACCAGGTACAGACAAAATCACAAAATTCTATTTCGCATTAGATAAATATGCAGGCCAACCAGATTTTTTTTCAGAGGACATTGTCCAGAAAAAGTGTTATTGCTTTATATTTCAAAGAATATTTAATACAATAGCTATTATCCCTGTGTTAACGTCTCTATACATTGTATATCTCATTCATAAATAACAAAGGTCTAATATCAGATCACATTACGTATATCTTAATTAACACTTATTTTCCACATCATTAGCTGAAATAACAACATAATTGTCAATAAACTCTAACAAAAAACTTAAATTACCAGGCTATACACTTATATAATAGAATTCAATAAATGTCAAGAAATTAATAATACCTAGATAATAAACTTATTTTAATTCTGACATCTATTTAGTTCATGAAATAACAAGATCACAGAACACTCACCCCTGCCCTGTGTATGTCTCAATGGACAACACCTATAGTTATTTTATAAAGCTCTTGACACATAGACATCTTATATGTTTTTCTAAAATCTCCTAACCTTTAACTAAACTGTTATAACTGTAAACACTAGATCATCTTTAAATCATACCCTTTACATAACATGTTTATCTACTAGTTTTTCTGAAATCTCTTAAAATTAATTAAAAGAAAAATCACAAGCAACATGAGAAAAGCAGCCTTAAAACTGAGAAACCTCCTCAGTTATTACACTACAACCACTATGGAACCATTTCAATCTGAACCTGGACTGTTCTACACATGGTCATTCTTTTAATTTTCCACGGTCATTGTAATAATTGTAATGACTTGATTTGTATAACTCAATGACTTGTCAACGTATATACAGAATGAAATAAATAGAGACGGACAGACTGGGCAAAAAAAACATTTACATCATGAGTACTACTATGTACTACTGTGATAAGGATGATATATACATTTTGGTGGATTTGTTTTCATTTTTCATAACACGTGTTAAAAATCAAGATATCTCCTTCCTCCTTAGTAAGAATGGACCTATAGAAAACACTGAAATGCTGTGATGTTTCCTAGCTACAACGGGCTGACAACAAATCCTTAATTGTTCCAGATGACTATATTCCATGAGATGGTGGGACTGTTGATGCTCTGTCTGCATGTAGATGTCACATAATCATAGAACTGAAGTCACATGACAACCATGAAAAGGTCACATGATCACTTCAGATAAGTCAAATGATCTATTTCAGTTTATACAAATGATCAATGTATTGTGTCACATGATCAAATTGTATATGAACACTTGTATGTATATGGGGCTATGATGTTTTACCAGCCCCGGCTCGATTCTTCATGTGGTGTCTTCCAACTTCTGAGCTGACTTTGACCTCATTCTCATGTTACCAAGCCGCCAGTGGGATCCCCATCTTCAACCTTCTTGACGACGTTGTTGACAAAGTCTGTCGTATGTCCAGCAACCATAACAGCTGGGGAGAAAAATGGTCTAATTAGTAAATGGTACACCGTGAGAGTGGTCGTATGATTTGACCTCTTACATCTGTTACAAACTGATATTGTCACCACATATAACCTGTCATAGTCACATATAACCTGTCATAGCCACATATAACCTGTCATAGCCACATATACCCTGTCATAGCCACACATAACCTGTCATAGCCACATATAACCTGTCATAATAACATATTACATGTTATAACTAAATATGCCCTAGGTTGTAATAAGATGTAGCATGTTGCAACTACACATTACTTGATACTACCACATATAACAGGAAGTGTGCTACCGGTATATGCTTAAATATTATGATAGATATTTTATTGAAAGCCTTAATTCTATTAAACACTAAATACAAACGTCTGCAGGGTATTGATGTTTTATGACCTGAACAACAAATAACAAACCTGGCAAAGTTTCAAAGATCACTTATTATACCCGGTAATCAACAGAAACTCTCATATCAATCCAACAGATTACATACTTAAGTGTTTAATTTAGATTAACTCATTCACCACTGAAATTTCATAACGAATTATACCAACCTTTGAATTAAAAGAGTTCAAATGTGTCTTCAGGGGTGAATGAGTTAACAACTGTGATGGTGTGCCTTGAGATCTTTTATTGACTTGTTACAGTTTGATGAACAACTCCTTTGACTTTCCTACAAATTACCAACAATTCTATAGGTACTTACTGAGGTGTTTCTGGATGAGACCATCCAGCTGAGAGGACAGGTTGCCCTCCTTCTCTTTCTTGTCTAAGACGTCGCGCACACGAGACTTGATCTCATCCATCACAGTCATCAGCTGCTTGTGTTCAAGCTCCAGTCCGTAAAGCTTCACCTTGTACGCCTCATGTTGGGCCTTCTTCTTCAGACGGCAGGCTCTGTGTAACACAATGATATATTAGTATCAACGTTTTGGGGTTTACAATATCTACAATGGTTAAAATTACAATGGTATCAACTATATAAGGTTGTTAGGTAAACAAAACACTCATTAACTATTTATAATTGTTAAAAATAATTTGAAAAATAATTGTCACGGAAACCTTTTTACTAATAATTTATTTTCCCCCCAAATTGCCATTGTTTACAATTCTGAAGTGAAAGTGATTCTCTTACAACACCTGTTTAAATTTACTCTTACAACACATTCTAAATCTACTCTGCTACAACACCTGTTTATTCGATGAGTTCTCACCTGGAAGCCAGTTTGTTTTTCTCCTTCTTTGACTTATTTCGAGTAGAAACTGGCATGTCACACAAAGGAGCAAATGCATTTATTTGTTTGTTGATCTTTTTCAACTGTAGTCCAATCGTTCCCAATTTTTTGGGGTTGGGTTCCACATTGTTTCCGTCCCCTTTGCGAGCTTTGCCCCCATGTCTAATTGATTTACCAAGTCCAAGCTTTCTGCCTTTTTCAACATCGAACACAGGATCCTCAAAGTCAAGTAACACATGTGGGTTTCTGGGCTCAAGGTCAAAGTTCATGCGTGTACCTTTTGGCCCTTTTGATTGGATGTTATACTGCCAGAAATACTGATCTTTTTTACTCGAGGAGTCCTTCTTCTTCTTAGCTGACCAGGACGAGTCCTGGTTGTTGTCGGAATCTGAAATTATTGAATCAATGACTGTGTTAGAGTCTAATAACACAGGTGTTCTCTTAACACAGGTGGTCTCTTAACACAGGTGGTCTCTTAACACAGATGTGACCGTAATCACAATATTTCGACATTAAGGATGAATCTGCAAATTCAATATGGCAGCAAAAAAGAATCTTGTTAAGAAGCACCACACATGTCAAATAATGTCCGAACCGTTAATTTCTAGGAGGCAACTTACTCCAATTTTCCAACATAAAGCCAGTGGATATTCATAGGTGTATATAATAAACAGTGATGGGAGAGATGGTTGGGTTTGGTTTGTTTAACGTCCTCCTAACAGTTATTGTCATTAAGGATGTGCCTCCATGTGTGTTGTGTAAGCATGCATGAGATAACAAGATTGATTGTTTTTGAAAACAATGGTTTGTTAACAAGAATTCAACTTCAGAAGATACTGCGGTAAACAGTTTATCGTTATAACAATAATCTTCCTAATATAACAGATAAACATGAGAATTGTTACAATGACGAGTTAAGAGAGGTTACCTGAGTCTGAATCATTCCAATCCTCGTCATCGCTGCTGCTCTCCATATCACTGTCTCCGTCATCTATGGAGGCCACGGATCCAACAGAGTCTGAAACAATCGTACGCTTACATAAATCAACAACAAACACAGGTCTACAGTAAACGCCCAGAGGTCAGTTTCATCAGTTTTGAGCTTACAATCATATGCTTGAGTAATAGTAAACAATTCTAGATTAATAATTTATTTGAAGTTTATTTGGAAATTATCTTCTTTTGGCAAAAAATAAAATTCTACTTCCTTCCATTTATTAAACCTTGGAATTAAAATGTTAGTATATATGTAACAAATTGCATAACTTAGGCCATTCTCACAATTTGTTTGCAGTTCCCTGACCAACTCACTTAAAATTGCACCTGCTCAAACATTTTTTAACAATTTTTAAGGATTGACTTTCTACTCATCACTGAGGCTACAAAACTCACCAATACTCTCCCTCTTTAGTTTTGACCGTGTCGGCAAGTTCGACTCGTCATCATGTATGAACTGCCGTATTTCCTCCCATTTCTGGTCTACGTCACTGGAGTCATAGGTTGAAATGGACAGGGGGCTCCGTCGTTTACCAAGAGCCGAGGTGGAAGGAGTAGCCTGAGTGATCCGTGGAGGAGACTGAGCCCTTTTACTCCCAATCAGTGCTTTTAGCACTTGATTACTACACTTTTCCCCACCAACACCAACAGACAGGGGAGATAACTCAGTTTTGATATCTTTTGAACTGGACACAGTTTCAGATATCTGTCGTATTGGCACACTAGGCTTATTATTCATGCTTGAGGTGGAGAGGGTTCTTCTGTTTAAGTAAGTGTCTGTTGTTGATGGTGACGACATTCCTCCGATAGGCCAGGCGATTGTTGATTTTGTCGACACTCCTGTAAGAGACCAAGCAGATGACAGAGATCGTGAAGACGTTGGCTGCGAATCTGTCTTGTCTGTGTTATTCTGTGATAATACCCAATTTTTCAAAAATTCTGTTGTAAAAGACTTTTGCACTGTTGATGTTGAACTTTGACCTCCAACCTCAGTTGAGGTTGAGGTACAGATTGGTGCGAGATTCACAATATCATCCAACAACGGAGGAAAGTTTAATTCTGCCAACGTCGGATCCTCGAACACGTCATCACACTTACTAAGCTGTGACTGGAGAGGTTTAGTCTGCCCTTCGTCTACCAGGCCTTGTGAGGTAGCAGGTGTCCCTTTGATTAACAAATTGTCACACACTGGAGGAATATCCTGGGACGTTTCATATGTATCCTCTAAATCAAAGTCATCTGAGAAAAACATATTGCTGGGATTTGTACAGTTAGGCACGTTTAGCGAGCTCTGCATATCAGCTTTCTCCTGTTCATACATGTACAATGAATTTGGACTGGATGCGAAAATAGAGGCATCAAATGAGCCAAGCTCACCACCCTCACCGAGGGCCTGACTAGATGGCAGGTTCTCAGCATAGAAACTGGAATCCATTTTTCTTTGTTCTGGCTGTAATGGTAAAAATATTGTTGAGTGACATAAATTTCATCAAACAAAATCATATTGTACGCATAGATCTGGAGTTAGTATTCCATTTCAAAAGAATAGCGACAATTAATTTACCTATAAAATTTATAGTTCTATTTTATGTAACTACGTCTTTATGTAAAATTAAAAAAGATCTATCAAACTTTAAGTAACCATGCATGTCATAACAAAAAGGAGTTTTTACACAGAAGATACAACTCTCCTGTTACAGTATTTTATTTCTCCTCATTTTCTTTTAATATAAATCTGTTACTTTTGAACACTTTTTAATAAATAATCACTGAACTTAAGCATGTAAAACAGACAATGTTTGATAACTGTGCACAGTGCAAATTGTTTACCTGTGATTTAACACACCCTTGCTGTTTATATGCATTAAACACTAACCCGACTTCTGGCCTGCAGAGATCCAACGGTCATCTGCCGTGTGAGGACAGGGAGTTGTGGTTTGGCCGACAGGATGCCCTGTTGTCTGGCCCAGCTGATCGGTGGACGCTGTAATGGGACAAGGTTCCCAACAGACTGATATATCTTTGATTGAGGCCGAGATGCTCCCTGCTGCGGTGCACTGTAAGAATAAAATTATAAAATATATGAAAAGATTTTGTTTGCAGTCATTTTGAGTCAATTACGGTAATAGTGATCCTTTAAACTGGGCCCAGTTGTTCAATGTAATCTTAGAAAATTATATGTGCTTTAGAAGTTCTCCTTAAGTTCTACTACAGTAATGTAATATATTAACTCTAATTGTACTTCTTGGTATACGCATGCGCACATTCAAAAGAAACAAGTTTTCATTAATTATATTCTACACCTGACATACCAACGTCATGTTATGCACATTGCATTAAACTTTAAAATAAATCTACGTCACGGCTTTACCTGGTCACAAATTACATCAGTCAACACTGTTGTTTTTGACATACCAGGGAAATGTCTTTTTATCACATGGTGACGTAGGTAAAGCATGCATAACTTTAACTGATAATTTGTGATAGAGACAACATTGATCTTTAACCTTGACTCCTTACAATAAAGAACAATAATATTTCAAATCTAAATTTCTCTGACCTTGCTTGTGACCAAGAATCAAACTAAAAATTGGCGTTGTCAGTATTTTATCAATCCTATATAGCTACAATGTTAAACGTATACCTACAGGTGATCTGTTCATTTACAAGTTGTACTTCAAACATAATGTACACTTTATAAATTTGTCTTAATCTTAAGGCGACATCTTAGCTATTTTACAAACTTCTATTATTTGTATCTGCCTGCCAATTTTCTGCTAGTGCATTCCATCCATTTATTTTCTACCTTTATTTATTTTCATTTTTTAACAAATGTGGTGCATCTACGTAGACTCCATATATCGATTCTAATCTTACAACAAATATATCATGGTCTCGGGATAATAAAAAAAATCTTCCTCTCGGACAAAAATCATTAACCAAAACTTTAGGACGGCTTTATACTTGTTCATAGAGGTTTCCATTAGACTCCCGAGCTCCACACCAGACACAAACAAGTAAGACACAAAGACGTGCCAACATTTCAAGTAGCTGGTTTTACACGGATTATATTTCCTTGTTTAACAGTTACCTAACAGATTGAAGATAACAAATTTCATTTATCAAAATGCTGTACACATTTGATTTACTTAGAGAAATTTGCCAATCTGTTTATCTAACCACACCCAACTAAGATGAAACAGTAGGAAGAAAATCTGCATAATTATGTACATAGCTGACGTAGGTTTCCCTAATGGAAATCGGCTGATCAACACATAAACACAGACTAGATCATAACACAAGCATTCAGGTACATTACCTGGGTAAACCTTTTAGCACCAGGTAAGCAGAACATTTATAGTTCGAAGCCATGTTTCTATGTTAGTGTGACTTTAATTTTTCAAAGTATAGTCAGGTTAACACCACATTTACACATCACATCTACTTATCAAACATTTACACATCACATCTACTCATCAAACATTTACACATCACATCTACTTATCAAACATTTACACATCACATCTACTTATCAAACATTTACACATCACATCTACTTATCAAACATTTACACATCACATCTACTTATCAAACATTTACACATCACATCTACTTATCAAACATTTACACATCACATCTACTTATCAAACATTTACACATCACATCTACTTATCAAACATTTACACATCACATCTACTTATCAAACATTTACACATCACATCTACTTATCAAACATTTACACATCACATCTACTTATCAAACATTTACACATCACATCTACTTATCAAACATTTACACATCACATCTACTTATCAAACATTTACACATCACATCTACTTATCAAACATTTACACATCACATCTACTTATCAAACATTTACACATCACATCTACTTATCAAACATTTACACATCACATCTACTTATCAAACATTTACACATCACATCTACCTTATCAAACATTTACACATCACATCTACTTATCAAACATTTACACATCACATCTACTTATCAAACAGAAGACAAACTCAATAGATTAAGGTTCAATATCTGGTTTTATTCTCTGCCTATAACGATGATATTTTGTTATGTACATCATGGCGTATGATGGCCAATGACTTCAACCACATGACAGCTAAAAATTGAGGAGGAAATTACACACTGCATTATTTTCATGTATGACAAAGTTATGTAAACAGAAAATGATATCCTGGAAACCAAATAAAGCTTAACTGTCAACAGAATGGCAGACTAATTAAACTGAATGTGCCAAGAGCTGTCGAGTTATACATTTTTTGAGAATGGTTAAAAACAAACGGGCATAACTCCATAAATAGGGGATGTAACTTAAAGTAATGTACTTTATTAAAGTTTCCTCAAGGTAAATATTATATCAACTTTTATCAAGTAAATTATTGTTATTCAAAGGGGCATAGCTCCATAGATAAGAGAGGTAGCTACAGTTTATATACTTTATTCACATCCTCTCAATGTAAGAATAATGTGCATAAAATTTTATTTACATCAGTGCAGTATACTTCAAGAGCAGTATTGTGAAGTATACAAGAAGATATACTCATTAAGAACTACAATGTATACATATCAACACCAATTTTAAAAAGGAAGGTCATTGGTGTAGTCATATAGCAATTAATTGATTTATTTACTGACATTAATCATTGATAAATCCCCCTGCTTACCACTAGTATCCCGCTATTCTGACCACTAAAAGTGATCCCGCTATTCTGAACACTGAAACTATCCTGCTTTTCTGACCACTAGAAGTATCCCGCTATTCTGACCACTAAAAGTATCCTGCTTTTCTGACCACGAAATGTACTGTATCCCCATTTTTTATGCACTACCATGGCTTAGTCTTTTCACTCACATTTATTCCAGCTATCAGTAAGCTGTCAATACTTTGAAAAACAAGTCTGACCTTTGACCTTGTTTCATTTACCTGGAGGCTGGTCACAGGGATTGGAATATCTTTTTATTACTAATCATTATTAAAGTAAAAACAAAAAGTGTTTTCTATGTAATGATATATCTCAATCATTATGATGTACTGCATGTATGGTCCGACAGCTAGTATAAATATACCTTGCATGGTATATATATATATATATATAAATGGTTATAATAACTGCGAAACCCAGATACTTAAAATAAACAGTTTCGCTAGACAATAGACAGTGATATGTTTATACAAAGAAAAATAAATTATATGGCTAGATAAAATGGTGAATTAGCTTCATGCCTGAGCAATTTAAAAATAGAATTATTGAATGTTTCTGTAAATAATCAATGAGGATTCTGATTTGAAATATTGTTTATAATAATATTAGTTTCACAGCATCTACATCATTATTGATGTAAACAAAGAAGGCTATTAAATCTCTTCAGAAATGTGTTATCTAAAAGATCACATAAACAAACTTGACACTGACCTTACAGAGTACTGCACGTGTACATATTTACTATATTCTCAGAAGTCGGTCAGATCCAAGGGAAATAACTCTTAAACTCAGTCAGACCTCTTGCATCAGATCAACATGATGTGACTTTCCACCCAAAACCAACTTCAACCCTTCACAGTCCCCCATACTCTGATGGCATGTTTTTGTCGGGATATTAAAATCAAACCATTTCTTTTCAAATTATTAATAATTAGCAGGAGTGTCAATTAATTAAATAATTAATAAACTTTAGAAAATTGAAATTCAAACAACAAAATCATCTCACTCCATCAGCATAACCTGTGTTGATATGCACAATACCTGAATTAACACATCTTAATTAGAGCAGTAATATACCCCCTATTTATGAAATCAGTTTCTTTCTGTACACCTGTTTAATACAGGGTTTTAATTTATTTTATTAAACATCTTATCAACAGATATATAAGATCAAGTAAGGACATATATTTCTGGTGTATTAGTTTGGGACTAAATATTAATAAATGATCAAGGTGCTTGTAATTTGAGGTAAAGATAATTTTTTTTTTAGATCAACATACTTTTGTATGTGATTGAATCTAAATCCATTAGAACACAAATAGTGTAATGTTATATAAGCAATTCAATGTCACAACCAGAGGACTTATAACATATATATATATGTGTCTTTGTTTAAACTTTTCATTTACCTGGCACTTAATGAATAAACGTATAACACTGGTCCACACACTCAATACACCCGGTAATGGTTACTATTTTGTGAAAAAGATACATACATAACAAGCTTAAGGTAAGTTATATATTGACAACACTCAGGGACAATCCCAGATTAAATTCTCAAACAAAATTCATAAATTAAATTGCCATAAGAATATAAAATCTACACCTCACCTCCATGTGTTGCTCATTATAGGACATGGGTACATGGTGTATTGATACGTTAGCATCTCATTCAATTAAAAAGTTTCCAAACAATCACTCCATTTATAATAATTGAAAAATTAATTTCGTGTTTGTATCCAGAATTCCAACTTCCTGGTAATGCACTATATATATAACAAATGTAATCTTACTCTTCCTGAATGGAGATTTTTTCTTAAAATGAAAAATAGCATAAATGTATAAGTCACTCAATACAGTTTTAAATTATTAATCTATGACCAACACATTGCGGTCATATAGATCTAAGATGAAACCTAACAGGGTAAGTATTCCAGGTATTATTATAACCTGCAGCTAATTCCAGGAAATCACAATTAGAACCGAAATATTCTGTTTGCTTGTAACTCTGTACCATGGCCAGTTTGATTGGTTCATACTAGACCAGGAACACTGAACTTGATCAAATAATTGTGTAAAAACATGTTAACCATCTTTTTTATTTTAATGTTAGGAGGAGGATAAATAGTTTACAGCACAGGGTTTGATGAAGATATTTATAATGGAATCCCAAGAATATCCTTAACTTTTTATTATATTTTATTATCTGTCCCCGCTTGAGCATTATATATTGAATCCTTTGGTTCAATTATGCACCATGATTAAATGTTGCAGTTATGAAAATTCAAAAAAAAACCCACTAAAATCAAATTTCTGACCTGGAATGAAATAATGACTCGGTGCTATACATAATTCAATGAATTCATTAAATGACGAAAACCCAAAAATAACCCAGAATTCTGTGGATTTTTTTTTAATTCTGATTTTTTTTTGGAATCCTAGAATTTTAAAATAAGTACATAACGTGGAGTTCCAACCAAATAAATAGTTACAATTTTTATAACAATCATTGAATTTATAGTTGAAGGCAATTTATATGAAACTATGAAGAAAGTAGGGTTCTGTGGAAAAAAAATCAATAAGTAGTTTCTGTGAAAAACATTAATGATAAATCAATAAGTCAATCAGTACACATGTACAGTACCATATGGGAGTATCATATAAGTATCATATCATCAAAGACTAATTTGTTCTTTTTTTTTAAAAATATAAGAAAATATGGTTGGATAATATGATTCCATACAGAAATCTGAATATGTTTCAATTAAAGATAAAAGACTTTCTCACCCTCTCTGATAAAGTGGTAATGTATTCCATCTCTGAGTTAAATTCAAACGAGACTGGGTAAATCCATCCCATGGTGGTTTTCCTGGACTCGAAGACTTTTTATCCATGAGATTTAACAAAGTTGGTAAATACTCGACACTGTTAAATCGGATCACCATTGGCCTAATTACACAACTTTTTATCACTGGGGAAAACCCCAGCTAAACCACGAGGTTCTTTTAAAACTAAAATACTACAAATTTACTAATAATGAATGAAAGTATTCCCCATGGCGGCCGTTTCACGTGTTCGACAATCTACCACACCCTTAGTCACAGCGTTGTACAGGATCCTTAGTCATCTAAGTTTTCAGTATTCATTGCCAATCCCATGGACCAGTGTGTTCCGTCTACGGCCTGTTCACTGACAGATGGTATCGCTGAACATCATTTACTACCACATCACTTACGCATGTCCCAGATATATAGTCACTTAATAAAACAATTAATGCCAAAAATAAACAATACATTCTACCCCCGGGCTACGAACGACCCGTCCCTCCGACGTAAACAAACTCAACCACGAAAGGTCAAGAGGTCATGATATACTGCTAGTTCACTGGTTCACTAAGCCAATGCGATCTTTTTATGAATTTGCAAATCAGCAACTTTGAAATACAGCAGGACGCGTCAAGATTATTGATGTTGAAGCTATTCAGAATACTTTTCAGTTCAAGCAATCTTTCGCAACGGCCCTATCAAAGATTTTTTCCTTGATCAATGCATGGGCAACAGAAACAAAATTACACAATAGCTCGAAATATTTGGAGTCATTTTGCGACGTCTGAAAGCTGCTTACCTTTCTGAAACAGACACGATTGTCTTCCCTGCCTCTTCCTCAACGATATTATCCGAGGTATCCACTTCTTCACTTTGAAATATTGTCTTAATCACTAAAAAAATCCCCAATGTTTACATCAGTTGCAATCCAACATGGAGTTTGTTTTGGTTCTGTGGAAAGTACGGGAAATGTCTCGTGATTCTGACGTCAACCACAGAATCAACCAATGAATATGGAGTAATCTCCGCCCACTGCAGGTAGTTGACGTTGGGAGAATACTGTCGTCAAAACATAAGATTTATCATTTACCAGACGATCGAGAGAAGTGCTCATACTCCCATATTATTGAAGACAAAATTAACGTGTAGTTAAATACAGTGACGACGGAAACTTGACGTGTCAGAAGGGTCATCACCAAAAATATTAAAAATGAAAAATCCCGTTTCTAACATCTATTATTAGAATGATGACGTCTACACTTATTTTAAGCGAATAGAAGGGTGAAGGTAGGTTTTCGTCATTTGTTTTGGTTCTGAGAATCACGCATGGAGCATAGCTATGCGCACAGGTTGTTATCTAGGACGGAGATTCTGATTGGTTAATAAACAGTGTTATGTAAGTTCAAGGAAGGGACAATAAACTCAATCAGTTTAATGAAAATGATAGGCGTCATGTTAAATTCTGATATAATGATTTGATAACCTAAGATTTATTACTATGGTGACTTTGTAACAGAAAAGGAACAGAAGTGTACCGACCAGCGGAATCGAATCCTATATTTAGCTGTCTTTTAGGACTCGTGTACTAATTTTTAAAAGATAAAAAAACATGTTATTTTTGTCTGGAATGTCACCAAACATATATACAATTCAGTAAAAAAAAAGGACAAACATGCACTCTAAATTGTTGACCCGGATGTTAGCGCAGGAGTCTTTACAAATAAGGTACTTATACCTTTATCTATAGCTTTACAAACTTACATTTTTTTGACTACAATAAATAACTTATATATATATTACTTTATAGAACGCCAAATTAACATATATTCAATAATTGCACATTTCTTCAAATAATTGAAGATGGGTGCAATTCAATTGAAGATAGGTACAATTCAATTAAAGATAGGCACAAATATGACGAATTAAACATATCTTCAATTGAATTGCACCTATCTTTATTTGAATATATATTTATTTGGCGATAAATTACACAAATATTCAATTAATTGACCAATCTTCAAATACTTAAAGATAGGTACAATTACAGACCCAATACTCTCTGGGTACAATACTCTCAGGGTATCTTCATTTAGCCTTTTCTTCGCTGTAATCTTATTACTCACTATATATAGTAACTATACGCGATGCTAAATTGAAAGGAATATTTACTTTACATGTTTAGAATGGTTCGAGTAAATATTCAGATAACTTGTATGAAAATCTGTAGGTTTTGTATATAAATCAGTAGAAACAGTATTGCCTTAAAAATGACAACGGGTAACGAAGACTCACTCGCTTCCATAGTATAACGAATAGAAGTAACTACTTCCTTGCCCCATATATATATAAACAAATATAGGTAAACGAAGTAGTTAATGTCAGCGGTATGTTTGTAGGTTACGGTTACTTAAACTTGGTATATATTACATGGGACAAGGAAGCACTTCCAATTGACGGTGTATACGTCAACAATATGAGGTTGTCAAATTTTCGGAGCAATCCGCTCCTTTATCAACACGGAAAAAAACATAGAACACTTACATTATATAAAAGAATATAACATATAGACGAATATTACTATATAGACTGATATATATATAGTTCCAGAACATCATGATAAGAATAAATTCTAGCCACAAAGTTACAGAAAATAATAAAGTCCACCAGCAGAATTTACCGTGCACCTGTGATGTCAAATAATCACTAGAAATACGGCATATTAGAATTAATTGAATAAGGGATTTACAAAAAAAACGTAATACTAGTGAAGATAGATTCTATATAACAAAATGGCATTGAAATTATTCTTCTAAAAAACTCCACAAAAGTAACTTAATTAATAAGTAATTAAAGCAACTACGAGGTATCTATGGTACCAACTAAAAAACCCAACAAAAGTAACTTAATTAGTAAGTAAATAAAACAACTACGAGGTATTTATGGTACCAACTAAAAA